AAGAGAAATAGCGACATTTCTAACTTTGAGGATGAGGTATGGAAAGGTGAAACATGAAGAGTAATGGAGAACGGAAAAATAAAAAGTGTCCAGGGGCGGAAATCGAACCCACACCCTTCTGCTTACCGGGCAGGTGCCTTGTCCACTCGGCTACCCTGGACGTATTTTTCCGTTCATAACTTATATTTAAAGTAACATTTAAAATACAATATAACGCGGCTGATGATTGTAAAACGAAAATTAAAATTATACCGCGAATGTTTCTTTTAAAAATCGAAATTTATTTTCAAAGAGAAATAGCGACATTTCTAACTTTGAGGATGAGGTATGGAAAGGTGAAACATGAAGAGTAATGGAGAACGGAAAAATAAAAAGTGTCCAGGGGCGGGAATCGAACCCACACCCTTCTGCTAACCGGGCAGGTGCCTTGTCCACTCGGCTACCCTGGACGTATTTTTCCGTTCATAACTTATATTTAAAGTAACATTTAAAATACAATATAACGCGGCTGATGATTGTAAAACGAAAATTAAAATTATACCGCGAATGTTTCTTTTAAAAATCGAAATTTATTTTCAAAGAGAAATAGCGACATTTCTAACTTTGAGGATGAGGTATGGAAAGGTGAAACATGAAGAGTAATGGAGAACGGAAAAATAAAAAGTGTCCAGGGGCGGGAATCGAACCCACACCCTTCTGCTTACCGGGCAGGTGCCTTGTCCACTCGGCTACCCTGGACGTATTTTCCGTTCATAACTTATATTTAAAGTAACATTTAAAATACAATATAACGCGGCTGATGATTGTAAAATGAAAATTAAAATTATACCGCGAATGTTTCTTTTAAAAATCGAAATTTATTTTCAAAGAGAAATAGCGACATTTCTAACTTTGAGGATGAGGTATGGAAAGGTGAAACATGAAGAGTAATGGAGAACGGAAAAATAAAAAGTGTCCAGGGGCGGGAATCGAACCCACACCCTTCTGCTTACCGGGCAGGTGCCTTGTCCACTCGGCTACCCTGGACGTATTTTTCCGTTCATAACTTATATTTAAAGTAACATTTAAAATACAATATAACGCGGCTGATGATTGTAAAACGAAAATTAAAATTATACCGCGAATGTTTCTTTTAAAAATCGAAATTTATTTTCAAAGAGAAATAGCGACATTTCTAACTTTGAGGATGAGGTATGGAAAGGTGAAACATGAAGAGTAATGGAGAACGGAAAAATAAAAAGTGTCCAGGGGCGGGAATCGAACCCACACCCTTCTGCTTACCGGGCAGGTGCCTTGTCCACTCGGCTACCCTGGACGTATTTTTCCGTTCATAACTTATATTTAAAGTAACATTTAAAATACAATATAACGCGGCTGATGATTGTAAAACGAAAATTAAAATTATACCGCGAATGTTTCTTTTAAAAATCGAAATTTATTTTCAAAGAGAAATAGCGACATTTCTAACTTTGAGGATGAGGTATGGAAAGGTGAAACATGAAGAGTAATGGAGAACGGAAAAATAAAAAGTGTCCAGGGGCGGGAATCGAACCCACACCCTTCTGCTTACCGGGCAGGTGCCTTGTCCACTCGGCTACCCTGGACGTATTTTTCCCGTTCATAACTTATATTTAAAGTAACATTTAAAATACAATATAACGCGGCTGATGATTGTAAAACGAAAATTAAAATTATACCACGAATGTTTCTTTTAAAAATCGAAATTTATTTTCAAAGAGAAATAGCGACATTTCTAACTTTGAGGATGAGGTATGGAAAGGTGAAACATGAAGAGTAATGGAGAACGGAAAAATAAAAAGTGTCCAGGGGCGGGAATCGAACCCACACCCTTCTGCTTACCGGGCAGGTGCCTTGTCCACCTGGCTACCCTGGACGTATTTTTCCGTTCATAACTTAAATTTAAAGTAACATTTAAAATACAATATAACGCGGCTGATGATTGTAAAACGAAAATTAAAATTATACCGCGAATGTTTCTTTTAAAAATCGAAATTTATTTTCAAAGAGAAATAGCGACATTTCTAACTTTGAGGATGAGGTATGGAAAGGTGAAACATGAAGAGTAATGGAGAACGGAAAAATAAAAAGTGTCCAGGGGCGGAAATCGAACCCACACCCTTCTGCTTACCGGGCAGGTGCCTTGTCCACTCGGCTACCCTGGACGTATTTTTCCGTTCATAACTTATATTTAAAGTAACATTTAAAATACAATATAACGCGGCTGATGATTGTAAAACGAAAATTAAAATTATACCGCGAATGTTTCTTTTAAAAATCGAAATTTATTTTCAAAGAGAAATAGCGACATTTCTAACTTTGAGGATGAGGTATGGAAAGGTGAAACATGAAGAGTAATGGAGAACGGAAAAATAAAAAGTGTCCAGGGGCGGGAATCGAACCCACACCCTTCTGCTTACCGGGCAGGTGCCTTGTCCACTCGGCTACCCTGGACGTATTTTTCCGTTCATAACTTATATTTAGAGTAACATTTAAAATACAATATAACGCGGCTGATGATTGTAAAACGAAAATTAAAATTATACCGCGAATGTTTCTTTTAAAAATCGAAATTTATTTTCAAAGAGAAATAGCGACATTTCTAACTTTGAGGATGAGGTATGGAAAGGTGAAACATGAAGAGTAATGGAGAACGGAAAAATAAAAAGTGTCCAGGGGCGGGAATCGAACCCACACCCTTCTGCTTACCGGGCAGGTGCCTTGTCCACCTGGCTACCCTGGACGTATTTTTCCGTTCATAACTTAAATTTAAAGTAACATTTAAAATACAATATAACGCGGCTGATGATTGTAAAACGAAAATTAAAATTATACCGCGAATGTTTCTTTTAAAAATCGAAATTTATTTTCAAAGAGAAATAGCGACATTTCTAACTTTGAGGATGAGGTATGGAAAGGTGAAACATGAAGAGTAATGGAGAACGGAAAAATAAAAAGTGTCCAGGGGCGGAAATCGAACCCACACCCTTCTGCTTACCGGGCAGGTGCCTTGTCCACTCGGCTACCCTGGACGTATTTTTCCGTTCATAACTTATATTTAAAGTAACATTTAAAATACAATATAACGCGGCTGATGATTGTAAAACGAAAATTAAAATTATACCGCGAATGTTTCTTTTAAAAATCGAAATTTATTTTCAAAGAGAAATAGCGACATTTCTAACTTTGAGGATGAGGTATGGAAAGGTGAAACATGAAGAGTAATGGAGAACGGAAAAATAAAAAGTGTCCAGGGGCGGGAATCGAACCCACACCCTTCTGCTAACCGGGCAGGTGCCTTGTCCACTCGGCTACCCTGGACGTATTTTTCCGTTCATAACTTATATTTAAAGTAACATTTAAAATACAATATAACGCGGCTGATGATTGTAAAACGAAAATTAAAATTATACCGCGAATGTTTCTTTTAAAAATCGAAATTTATTTTCAAAGAGAAATAGCGACATTTCTAACTTTGAGGATGAGGTATGGAAAGGTGAAACATGAAGAGTAATGGAGAACGGAAAAATAAAAAGTGTCCAGGGGCGGGAATCGAACCCACACCCTTCTGCTTACCGGGCAGGTGCCTTGTCCACTCGGCTACCCTGGACGTATTTTCCGTTCATAACTTATATTTAAAGTAACATTTAAAATACAATATAACGCGGCTGATGATTGTAAAACGAAAATTAAAATTATACCGCGAATGTTTCTTTTAAAAATCGAAATTTATTTTCAAAGAGAAATAGCGACATTTCTAACTTTGAGGATGAGGTATGGAAAGGTGAAACATGAAGAGTAATGGAGAACGGAAAAATAAAAAGTGTCCAGGGGCGGGAATCGAACCCACACCCTTCTGCTTACCGGGCAGGTGCCTTGTCCACTCGGCTACCCTGGACGTATTTTTCCGTTCATAACTTATATTTAAAGTAACATTTAAAATACAATATAACGCGGCTGATGATTGTAAAACGAAAATTAAAATTATACCGCGAATGTTTCTTTTAAAAATCGAAATTTATTTTCAAAGAGAAATAGCGACATTTCTAACTTTGAGGATGAGGTATGGAAAGGTGAAACATGAAGAGTAATGGAGAACGGAAAAATAAAAAGTGTCCAGGGGCGGGAATCGAACCCACACCCTTCTGCTTACCGGGCAGGTGCCTTGTCCACTCGGCTACCCTGGACGTATTTTTCCGTTCATAACTTATATTTAAAGTAACATTTAAAATACAATATAACGCGGCTGATGATTGTAAAACGAAAATTAAAATTATACCGCGAATGTTTCTTTTAAAAATCGAAATTTATTTTCAAAGAGAAATAGCGACATTTCTAACTTTGAGGATGAGGTATGGAAAGGTGAAACATGAAGAGTAATGGAGAACGGAAAAATAAAAAGTGTCCAGGGGCGGGAATCGAACCCACACCCTTCTGCTTACCGGGCAGGTGCCTTGTCCACTCGGCTACCCTGGACGTATTTTTCCCGTTCATAACTTATATTTAAAGTAACATTTAAAATGCAATATAACGCGGCTGATGATTGTAAAACGAAAATTAAAATTATACCGCGAATGTTTCTTTTAAAAATCGAAATTTATTTTCAAAGAGAAATAGCGACATTTCTAACTTTGAGGATGAGGTATGGAAAGGTGAAACATGAAGAGTAATGGAGAACGGAAAAATAAAAAGTGTCCAGGGGCGGGAATCGAACCCACACCCTTCTGCTTACCGGGCAGGTGCCTTGTCCACTCGGCTACCCTGGACGTATTTTTCCGTTCATAACTTATATTTAAAGTAACATTTAAAATACAATATAACGCGGCTGATGATTGTAAAACGAAAATTAAAATTATACTGCGAATGTTTCTTTTAAAAATCGAAATTTATTTTCAAAGAGAAATAGCGACATTTCTAACTTTGAGGATGAGGTATGGAAAGGTGAAACATGAAGAGTAATGGAGAACGGAAAAATAAAAAGTGTCCAGGGGCGGGAATCGAACCCACACCCTTCTGCTTACCGGGCAGGTTACTTGTCCACTCGGCTACCCTGGACGTATTTTTCCGTTCATAACTTATATTTAAAGTAACATTTAAAATACAATATAACGCGGCTGATGATTGTAAAACGAAAATTAAAATTATACCGCGAATGTTTCTTTTAAAAATCGAAATTTATTTTCAAAGAGAAATAGCGACATTTCTAAGTTAAATGTTACTTTAAATATAAGTTATGAACGGAAAAATACGTCCAGGGTAGCCGAGTGGACAAGGCACCTGCCCGGTAAGCAGAAGGGTGTGGGTTCGATTCCCGCCCCTGGACACTTTTTATTTTTCCGTTCTCCATTACTCTTCATGTTTCACCTTTCCATACCTCATCCTCAAAGTTAGAAATGTCGCTATTTCTCTTTGAAAATAAATTTCGATTTTTAAAAGAAACATTCGCGGTATAAATATATACATTGTTGAATATATTATTTTTAGTGTTGTTTTAGAAATTTCCAACTATTTAGACATTTTAACAGCCAAACATGATTATGTCCGTTTCTTGAAGGGGTAGTATATAAATAACCCAGGTTCCTGAAGCCACGTACAGAAGTCGCCAAATACCCGGACTGTCCTGTGGTTTAGGTCTCCAGACCTATAAGCTCCATAGGTTCCCAAAACACTCCTAAGCTGCCTTCCATAGTAAATGCAGGGAATATAACAAAACCAATCTAATACAATAGTAGAGCGGTCTGGAGATTTTTTATTTATCCCAAGTACACGTGGTACAGGCCATGATAATCATGATAGGTAGAAGTAGGCAACTACTATTACTCTAAGTGCACCACTTGTCTACACACGCGAGAATCAGTTCGACTTTTGCACTTATAAATGTGCCAGAGCCCCGTTTGGTTACTTGCACTCGTTGGTGGGGTTGGACTTTTGCAAGAATCGGGAGCCATTGGAGCATTTTTTTATCAGAAAAAAAAAAAAGAGTCCAATGTGGGATTCTATCCTGGGTCGTAGCGGTTGAAAATCAACGGTTTAAACCACCCTTTCACCAACCCATTTAATCTGAAGATTAATTTGGCGAAACCGCTGAAAGGATTCACCACTGATGAACCAAGCCCTCTCATCAAAAACTTTTATCATTGCAGTAAATTCTGTAGAGAGATAATATGTGATGATATACTTACAAAAAAAGGAAAAACATTTTCAGAAAAAATAATTGTTACAAATATCGTTATATATTATTCTTCATGAAATCCAAAGGGGTCGGTGAAAGGATGTTCTAAACCATTGATTTTCGACCGCTATGACCCAGGTTCGATTCCCGCATTGGGCACTTTATTTCTAAAAAAATACTCCAATGGCCCCTGATTCTTGGAAAAGTCCAACCCTACCAGCGATTACAAGTAACCAAACGGGGCTCTGACATATTTGTAAGTACAAAATCGAACTGATTTTCACATGTATAGACATGTGGTGCACTTACAGTAAAAGCATTCGCCAACTTCTACCCACCATCATACAATCCAGATAGAAGAAACCACACATTTTAAAGTAAAAACCAAATATTCCTCCACTTGGCATAGTGATAAAGAAAAGGGATTTTAAATATTCATAGCTCCATGCATTATTGGATAGCGTGGAGAAAGGAAAATAAAGGCGTCCGGGCGTATCAACTTAAGGAAATGGATGGCCTACTTTGTTGCTTTTGGTCAAAACTGAAAAAAAAATTTTCACCGAATACTTATTTTTATTTTAAATTGCCATTATGTCACACATATATGTTATGATAAATTTGTTTGATATGGAGTCTTCTTAGGTTGTTTATGGATACATTAGTATGTCTGTGATATTGCAGTCGTGATATTGTAATAAAGTATTTATTATTTTATTAACAGAGTATTATTTTTTATTTCTTCAAATAAAAGACACTTCGGCCAATAAATCTTTTTATTGTCTCGACGTTTCGACAAAAATATTTTGTCCTCGTCAGGAGCGAACAAAAATTAGAATATTAGGCAAAGCGTTAGAAATGGCTGAATTGTCTTATATTTGAAGAACAATGAATGCCGGCCAGGCAGCCTCTATCTTTACGATTATTTTTTATGTTTATATTTTGCTATACTCTGTACATTTCCCTCTTTTGATTATCTTTTGTTTATCACTCATAGTTTGTTCTTGCCTTAAATAAATTGTTGTCTCCTCCCGAAGTTGGTCTTCCCTAATTTTCCACGTGGCAATATTAATAAAAATACTTTTGATCAGAATTAGCTTTAATTGATCTTATGGAGATAATATAAAATTCACAATTTGAGAAACTACTACCTGACTTGAGGCGTGAAGAAAGAAAAAAACAAAAGACTTATTTACATATCTACAGAAAGATTTGAGCCGGCCAACGGAAAACAACAACGATAGGTTAGGAAAAACCGTGACATCTGACGGTCGACTTAAACAGAGTAATTTGTTCTAGAAATTTGAATTTCAAAAGAAATAATCTTTATATAACATTAAATGAATGACCCGGCTTCGCCCGAGAATTCCCCCGAGTGAAATTTCCTTTATAGTGAAAGTACATCAATAATAAATAGTAGAAGTGCCATAGAATAGCAATACAGAAGTAACACATAAACCACAGACAAAATGTGTGTGATGGCAAAAATTATATTAGTGTTTAGGTATTTGATTTAATTATTTTTTCAATCCATTTAGTTTTTTCAAAATCAATATAGTTTAAATAGACGGCAGCTTTTCCACCCAACCCTCATTAACCCTTGAAATTGCCTGATTTGAGTGAGTGACTGCGATAGATCTTGACTGCGATGCCCATCTTCTCAGTAAGAATAAGAAAAAATAGGTTTTTTAAAAAAATATAATCCAAAATACTGGCATGTATATATTTTTCTGTGAAAAATAAAAGAGCACATTGAAATTAGGCAAACATGTGTGTTTGCTAATGACTGAGACTGCATTTTACACGATTTTTTAAAAATAGATATATGTATTATTATTAATTATTTTTGACCAATGACAAGGTTGTTTTCATGTTATCTACACGAATTTTTAAATCAAGTTTACTGTACAATAAATTTATAAAAAGGGAGAAATCTCTCGAAATATTTTAAGAAAAATTGTTTGTTTTTTTCTTTATTGATCCAGTTATGCCCTTTTTCATATAATATTATATAACAACCTAAATGTTTCTCCCTCTCTGTATATTAAAATGCATAACTTGGAATGTTTTTATTATAATATTGTTGCACCATGATTAATGCGCGTATTTTAAAAATTATTTATATTATTTTTAATATATTTAAAATTTAAATTATATATTTATTTAAAATATTATGTACTATAAAACATTTGTATTTTGATACACTAAAATACCCCACCTGATTTAAACTTTGATATGATAAATAAAGAGATATTCTAGGTGCTACCTAAATATATAGTTGTCTTATTATTGACTGGTTTAACCTTGCAAGATGGTTGAGACACGTTCTGGAAAGATGCAAGACACGTCTGAGGAGAGACTCAAGACTGAAGAATCTGCCAAACCGCAGCCTGGTGTAACAATTATCTTAGGATTTCGCTAATATACACAATGAGATAAATAAATTGAACAATTGGTAACATACCCAATTACCTTATTAACGTATTTATCATTATCGAAAATTATTGGTTATTTTTGTTTACAAAAGATAATGCTCAGGTATGTGTGTTCAGCGTGTTATATACACAATTTGTAAAAGTGCATAATTAACCAATACCTTGTGAATATCCAAAAAGACAAAGGTCGCTTTTACCGTCAAATTAAACGTCAACGCTAGACGCCACCTATTGACCGTCGCCGCAAACTAGCGGCCTTAGGTAGGTGACAAAGCCACAACACCGACCTGATGCCGCAGAGCGCCATCTCGTGGAACAGAAATAAGCTAAACATTGATTTAACCTATAAAATGGAAGGATTTAAAAGCATGAATGTTTCTTTTATACATAATACAAACTTCTACTGTCCTTACTGCGATGAAAAAATATATTTGAATGTAAATCTACTGTCCTATAAGCTTATGTCCGTAGTTATATTGAAAACCATTTCTGAAATTCCATTCTTCAGTGCTGCGTTTATAAGCAGAATCGTCCAATACAGTATTAGCGCTCTTAGAAGCGGTCTGGTGGATTAAATTGGCGAAACCGCTGGGAGGGTTCACCACTGATGAGCCAAGCCCTCCCAATATATATATTTTTTCATCGCAGTAAGGACAGTAGAAGTTTGTATTATGTATAAAAGAAACATTCGTGCTTTTAAATCCTTCCATTTTATATGTATAGATGGCGCGTTATTGCTTTGTATTGATTTAACCTGTTCCCTGATATTTGGCCAACCCATTTTCTTGATAAATCAAGCCATCCACGAACGCGTTTCGCGCTGTTGGCGCTCGTCAGCGTGAAACAGGGTGTACCACTGCGACCAAAATCTTTATGGTTCCAGAGGCTTCTTGAGAAACAAAGAAATAGGTATCTATGGGTGTTGCAGCTCTGGTGGGTTACTGCTTGCTTGGTTCATTGCCATAGTGCATTTTGATTAACCTGTCTAATGCGGTCTCTCATTAGGATTATAAGACCATGTCTTAATGGCCAATTAGTCGAAGAATCAAGTTCTACTGGTTTTGTTATATCTCTATAAAAAGAACAAATGAATATTTCTAAAAAGAGAAATCACCGGCGCTATTCCAACAGAGAAGAAATCAACTATTAAATATTGATATTTAATTTACACACTGGCAACACAACAGTAAATACAGATGGAAAAATCCCCAGATGTTTATCTATTCAGTCGATCGAATTTTCAGGGGTTCTAAAGATCAATGACGATCAATAAAAATTACCATTGGTCTATTGCTTCAAATATCCATTGCATTGATTCTTCCAAAGACCTTTTTCTTTATCCAGAGCGGTCTGTGAGAATTACTCTTGCTTCCTTTATCCTAGGATCTACTGCTCTATTTATCCTTTCCCACAAATATCTTGTGAAATATTTTGTGTTCTTCTTCTTCTAT